TCGTATGATGATACTTGAAGGTAAACTGTGTGAGTTATATGCACGTGTAGAGTTAGGTCGTTTCCAGCCATGTACCTATACTCTGTCGTGCTAAGGAAAAACGCCGTATGAGCGATAAGACGTAGCCAAATTTCCTTTGATAAAACACGAATTTTTTGGTAAACTTATGAGTATTTTCCCTCCAATTTTTAGAAGTTTTCATTCGCAATTTTACCTAAAGTTACTGAAACTTTCAATGAAAATATTCATTTCTTTCCTCAAAAATGAAATTTTTATCGAAGTAAATTTGGCGACTCTCGATTGTTCATACGGCGTCCTTTAGCACGGCAGTACTGAGGTATTGAGTGTGCCTGAGAGCGGGGCGAATTCACGCCTAGCGTCATCGCGCCTTCAATTTTGCAGATGCAACACGGACATCCATCATGTACGAATAGTTGTATCTCTGCGCCGTCTTTCCATTTGCTCTATTTCCATATTGTGTTGGTTTCGTTCGTCTCATTTGTAGTGATGCTTCAAGGGTTACGTGAGCAAAACAGCCGAAAATAGGGTGTACCCTAATCAAATATCATTTTGAGAGGAAAACAATTTTATAGGTCTCTCAAGCGATCATAAGGGTGCAAATGTAATTGTACTACATCCTCTGAGAGAGTGACACATGGCGGATGAGGAAGGGGGATGATAAAGCGTCTCTATGTTACCAAAAAGGTGAAAATTTCGAAAGAAATTTGAAAAGAATAGAATTTTTTATCGATCTTAGAAATTTTATGTATATTTTGACTTTTGACAAAAGTTCGAGAGCTATTTATATTTCCTCACTCAAAGATGCTCATCATCCCCTTTTCGAAAACTATAATCGAGAAAAGTGTTCGATGCCTCCCAGCTAATTTTACGACTGAGAGTGACCAATTTTTTGCGTTATAGCGAAAGCTAAAAGCGTAAAGGGTAATAACGTCCTCGATGCGTCAGAGGAGCATATCTGCCAATGGCAGATTAGTCTCATGGCCAGTGTGACTCTGCATTCTTGCCGCATTTTTTTTCGAAGCACGGCGGTAGGGTAACGTGGGGCCCATCTCCTCTCATTTAGGGTCTAGGGGGCAGGCCCGCCGCAAGAGGGGGGGATACTGGGTCCCTGGTACCGGGGCCCGGGCCCAGGAGGGGGCCCGTGTTACCCGTGAAAAACCACTACGAATTCACATGCAACCCTTGTTTCGTGAGAAAAAGTGAAAAATTTACCCTAAAAATTTCGCAAAAAGTGAATAGATTTTCAGAAACACGCTGGGGCACTTTAGGATTCTTCTTAAATATTCAAAGATGTATACTTCATGGAAAATTTCTATCTATTTTCAAGATTTGCAGTACAGAGGGTTATTTTTAGTATCTGCGTTTCATTTTCTTCCGTCGTCAGATGCTAAGAGTCTCCAGTCTGGGCATCCTCGACTTCATAATGGCTCATTGCTCAACTCTCTTGCCTTAGACAAACGAAGGGGGAGTCCAGGGGGGCCTGCCCCTCTTAGAACTGAAAATAGTATCATATATCAACCCCCCCCCCAAAAAAAAAAAAAAAAAATAAAAATTTTCCAGATGTTTTGAATGCAACAATTCGCAAGTATTTTGTGCTGAAAGTAGAAAAAAAAAATTATTCCGCAGAAATTGATGGAAAAATTCTTTATGGAAGCTTCAAAATACGTCCGATTCGAAATCATGGATGTATGTATCGCACCGACCGAAGTGCGAAACCACGTATCTCCATCGCGGTGTTTCAAAATTCCCGTTCTTAATTCATCTCTTCCATGAGAAACAATCCAAATTTACCAGTTTAAATTTTGAGCCAAATCTTCTGCTAGCGAATACGAAAAATCATGGAGAATTTAAGTTTTATGTTGACCAGCTTCTCGAAAGAAAAATAAAATTTCTAAGGAAGTTTGCAGCGTCGCAAATGGAGAAACGTCGTCTCTCATTTTGCCCAAAAATATGTAAGTATAAATTTGAAGGCATTATGACTGGCCTCTATCAACTTATATTCGTCTGTAACGATAAACAATGGGACGCGTTTGCTACGGCGCCTTGATACAACTATACAACCTCGACGGATGTCCGTATTGCGTTCAAAAAATTGAAGGCGTTTCAACTGCCTGCTCCTACTACCTGCAGTTGATTCGATCGACAAACGCGTTGGTCGGCGTTGACGGGGACTTGATGCAACTTTTTAAACTTGATGGATGTATGTATCGCACCGACCGAAGTGCGAAACCACGTATCTCCATCGCGGTGTTTCAAAATTCCCGTTCTTAATTCATCTCTTCCATGAGAAACAATCCAAATTTACCAGTTTAAATTTTGAGCCAAATCTTCTGCTAGCGAATACGAAAAATCATGGAGAATTTAAGTTTTATGTTGACCAGCTTCTCGAAAGAAAAATAACATTTCTAAGGAAGTCTGCAACGTCGCAAACGGAGAAACGTCGTCTCTCATTTTACCAAAAAATATGTATGTATAAAATTGAAGGCATTATGACTGGCCTCTATCAACTTATATTCGTCTGTAACGATAAACAATGGGACGCGTTTGCTACGGCGCCTTGATACAACTATACAACCTCGACGGATGTCCGTATTGCGTTCAAAAAATTGAAGGCGTTTCAACTGCCTGCTCATACTACCTGTAGTTGATTCGATCGACAAACGCGTTGGTTGGCATTGACGGGGACTTGATGCAACTTTTCAAACTTGATGGATGTATGTATCGCACCGACCGAAGTGCGAAACCATGTATCTCCATCGTGGTGTTTCAAAATCCCCGCTCTTAATTTATCTCTTCCATGAGAAACAATCCAAATTTACCAGTTTAAATTCTATTTAAATCCTCCATTTTAAAACCACCCATTTGCTAAATACAATTCTAGCTGAAGAGCACTTCAGCTATGCATTCACCAATGCAAAAATTTCAGAGGAAATCGACAAGCCCAGCGTGCATTGAGGCTATCTCCATTTAAATCTTCCGTCACATTCTTACGGCGCAATGATACAACTATTTGAACTCTCCGGAATGCGTGAAGTATCACGCCGCATTTGAAGGCGTTTTCAAAACAGCCAAGTTCCGATACCCGGATTATCGTTGTGCATAGTTCATATTATTTTGTTTCCACTTCTAACCACACGTTCATTTAAATCCTCCTATAAAAACCACCCATTTGCTGAATACAATTCTAGCTGAAGAGCACTTCAGCCATGCATTCACCAATGCAAAAATTTCAGAGGAAATCGACAAGCCCTGCGTGCATTGAGACTATCTCCATTTAAATCTTCCGTCACATTCTTACGGCGCAATGATACAACTATTTGAACTCTCCGGAATGCGTGAGGTATCACGCCGCATTTGAAGGCGTTTTCATAACAGCCAAGTTCCGATANAAAAAAAAGAATAATTTTCCGGATGTTTGAATGCAACAATTCGGAAGTATTTTGTGCTGAAAGTAGAAAAAAAAAAAAGAAAAAAAACATACTTATTCCGCAGAAATTGATGGAAAAATTCTTTATGGAAGCTTCAAAATGCGTCCGATTAGTCGTATAAATTCTAAAGTTTCTCGGGGGATGCCTCTCGGACCCCCCCCCCCCCCCCGNNNNCCCCCTCCGTGCTTGGGGCCTGGACCTTAAAACTGGTACCAGGGCCCGAGACTGGATGTGGCGGGCCTGCTACGGGGGGTTCGTGGATAAATTTGATATTCCAGTTTCGACTATCGGAGCTTCTTCATTCTTCCCCAGGCACCATTAAAATCTTAAAATACTATAATTTTGAGGTCTAGGGGGCTCCTCCATTGCTTTAAAGGCCTTAAAGACCCCGTAAACCACTGAATATTTTAATTGTGAGTGCTAAGGGACCTCAATTACAAATCAGCGAGCCCTGCTTCATTCGTACCTCTAGAGGCTTAATACTTCACTTACATTGTATCTCACTCGTTCCAATCAGTTCGCCTTCAATATCTCGATAAGCAATGTGAGCGGCTTGGGATTAGTACCTAATAGTTGCTCGCAGCACTTCGTCCACATTCACTCGGTTTTTCATAACTGAAGCGGCTTGATACACGTCTAGTTGTTGTTTTGCAGAGACATTTCAGATAAATTAGGCAATTGATGTCTTTCCTGTATTCACGATTATTCGTAGCTGTAGCGGTCTAATACTTCACTCCCATCGTTTCTTCCTCGTTTTTACCAGCTCGCCTTCAATATATTGATAGGCAATGTGAGCGGCTTGGGAGCAATAGAAGGGCTTGGAGGACAAGGCAAAGAAGTGCAGGTTTTACTATTTCGAGAAATACGTGTTTGAAGTATCGAAATTACATGTATCCTTATGGCGGAAAGAAAGTTCAAACTGACTTTCTCATGCTTAAAAATTAGAATTTGGAAACTAATTTTTCACAGAATATGCATTAAGACTAGTTTAATTTGACATCAATAATATTTCAATTTTTAAAAAACTGCACATATGTGCCTTGTCTTCCAAGCTGCTCACTAACAGTAGCCTGTAGCACTTACGAGATGGGTGCTCATTGGTTTTAAGTGTAAAATTAGCTGATTAATGCCACCACCTCAAAATGTTCAGCTCTCATTCTGATGAAGTTGCTTTTGATGACTTTTCTAGATAAGCAGGGACTAAAGGTTGTCTGGAACGTGTTGGCCAAGTTCACACCTGCTTTTAAAGTTACTTTCCGTTACCATTTAACATTTATCTGTGCTATTGCAACGTTCCTACTTTACCAGCTACCAAATTGGCAAAGACTGCAATATATTGCAATTAATTGCAAAATCAGCTATTTTATTGAAAACACGCAAAAAGATTTTTAAAGGAGGAAAACCAGGTATCCCTGAATTCTTAGAATTATCAGAGTTGGGATGGTTGAATCTGAATTTTGTGGAAGGACTATCCTCCTGATGCCTTTTGAAAAACAACCCCCCCCCCCCTCGAAAAAAGAAAAAAAAGGAAAATACTCAAGATATATACCATTCATGAAGAAGTACGTTTTTTTTATTTTTTCATTAACAAGCTATAGTAATTAACGGTAAAAGCTAAAGGCAGGATCGCCACACAGCCCTTTGATCAGAAAATATCAGATCAAATTGAAACATTACAACCAAAAAATATTTTTCATAATACTTAAAAGATTACACAATGTTCAGAATTTTTCAGGGATGTTTTGAAACTTTCAGTAAATCTTTTAGGGAACAAACTTCAACGATAACTTGAGAGTACGAATGTTTACTTTGAGTATAAAAAGTGAGTATCCCTCATACATAAGCCGGGCTACAAGTAACCATTATTGGCTGGAGCGAAAAATGGCCAGCAAGCAAAATATCACTCTCTAGGTGCAAATTGTTCACAGAGACGTTTTGAATATTACTTTGTGACAACCTAGTTAAATGCTATACATCACCACTGTAAAGCAAGAAAACTATGCTTATACCTGAGTTGTTGATAAAGCATATTCTCCTTAAGCAACACTTTTATTTAAGGTTGACAGTGAACTACTGAAGATTCAGTTTCTACTGAATAGGAAAACAATTTGAGCGCTAAGCGTTGCTAGTAAAAATGACCCATCTTAGAAAATTATGAACATGCTGAACAACTGCTCACACTCAGTTTCGCCAAAACGGGGGAAAAAAAACTGGCTATGACATTACAATTCAGCCAAACAAGTCATCATAACTTCTAGTTATACCTCCTGGCAGTGGAACTCGGAAGTTTAGACCGTTGCCAAATTACGCAAAAAGTCCAGGTTTTTTGGGTCACCGCTTGTAATCAATATCTAACAAAATATTTACAAAACTTTAAAACAGAATTCTTCCACTTGATCTTCAGGTGATTTTAATTGAATTATAAAACATTAAAAACAAATGACTACTTGCTCACCCTATAACTATTTGTGACAAAGTTTAAAATAATATGTGTGAAATTGTTTCAACACATTACTTCCGTGCCCTCATGAAGAAAGAACCTAGTAGTACAGTTTGCCAAAATTTTTAAGTTCTTATAGATTCTTGAAATATTAGCCTGTGTTTTGGAAATATGTCATGGTATGGAAGCATTGTGGCTATGAAGTAATGGAGAATCAAAAAAATCTGATAACCCTTTCAAGCAATTCCACAGGGTTGGGGGGGGATCTGAGTTGAGATTAAGTTGCAAGAGGCGTGCATAACGCCTAAAGTTTAAAAGTTTTGATTCAAATTATTGAACAAATGTGATTATGTCAAAGAGATTTTCTCCATGATCACTTGAGCATGATTAGATAATTCCGAATTTCCAGAAAGAGCCTGTGTCTGAGCATAAAACTTTTTCTTCTCATACAAGTGAGAGATGAGTGATGATTAATAAAAATATTTTGAAAAATGCAAAAACAAAAAAAAATCTGTTGCATACCTCATCAAAATTAAAACTTTTCGTGGTAAAACTTGGAGACTTACTTATTTGGTGATCCAGTGAAATGCCATGAAAAATTCCCAATTAGATCACTTTTGAAAAATCAAAAATTCAAAAATTGAAAGAAAAATGATGCAAGATGCTCTTGAAGATTATGAAAAATTAATGGATGAGGTTCACCCCATTTTTTGGTCCAATTGGTCGTTAATAAGATTTCAAGAAAACATTCTTGTTTTTAGACTGGGAAATATGTTTCACACAGGACAAGATAGGAACAATGCAGGATAGTTTATCGATGGATGATCCAAACAGAAGCTGCGAGGAAAAGAGCCATGTATGTGAGTCTCATCGTATTCGCTCCGTTGAAGTAATTATCAATTCCCTCCATAACGGCCACCTCATACTCACTCAAGTACTCAGGTTTGACCTTAGGACTTCTACCTATTTGCAGATAAGGGCCATTGAAAGAATCCATGTTGGGCCAGCTGGGGACTTTTAGGGCTGGAGCAGGGACTCTGAAATTCAAAACGTTACAATAAAATTATGTTTGATAATAATAACCATATTAAGGATTGAAGTTTCAAACTTTTCACAGTTTTGAGAGGTGAAATAAGCAAAGCTTCTTAGAACATGCTATGGAGTAGTAAGTATGCATTCCAAGCTACATAATGTAGAATGTTGCTTTTTGATTTCATCTGACAATTAATAAAAATTATCCTCTTTAAGTTGAAGATTCACTTTTCCTTAAGTGCTGGGAAATTTTTCCAAACCTTTCTTTTTCTTCAGGTGTGATTTTAGAATATTGATGGCTAAGCAACAACACCGCCTACCTGCAAACTGATGATTTTGCAGGATGAAAAAAAAAACTTCACCATTTTTATAATTTCCAAGTTCCGTTGGTGCAATTTTCTGTACATTACAACATCATTACAGTGCTCCCATGATGAATTGGGAAAAACTAAAATCATCAGCATGCTGTTTTATAATGTGAAATAAGAAAAAGTTGCTGACCTATTTTCACCTAAATTCTCAGTTAGATGGTATTATTGCTTGGCCAGCAATAAATTGTTTACCTTATTTTTACGAGGGCTGTCCCAAAAGAAACCAGACTTTTGTCATAGAAGGCAAACCAAGCGTCGTAATGAAGCTTTCTTCGGCTTGTTTGAAAGCTGATAAGCTACTGGAGATGCTTGTTCTTACAGAATGCAAAAATTCGTCTTGGTAAGGAAACTAGACGCTCTGGAATAAAGGAAAGTCAAACTTGAGTTGCGATTTTTGTCTTTATTTCAAGAAAAATTGAGATACAACTTAAAAAAAACCCAGGTTTTCAGTTAAAAACTTCGTTGCTCTCTTATTCAAATGTTTAAAAATAAGGGAATTAACATTTTAAGCAGCTTACCCAATCATCACCTATCCCCTTCAAAATACTCACCAGCTTTGTCGATGCATTTTTGCCACCGTTTCTTCAATTGGGAGAAACACTGTTGGAAATCCTCAGGTTCGAGGAGTTTTCCATCATGAATTTTTACCGAAAGGAGAAACTGTAAATCGCGAATATTACAATGGTGCTCTGAGACGATTACGTGAAAATGTCCGCAGAAAAAGGCCCGAGCTTTGGAGAGAGAATTCCTGGTTTCTGTATCACGATAATGCACCTGCCCATGCATCCCTCCAAATTCGCGAATTTTGTGCAAAAAATGCCATGAGTGTCCTCCCTCATCCCCCTTATTCACCTGACCTGGCTCTGGCTGATGTTTTCTTATTTCCACGACTTAAATCTACCTTGAAAGGTCGACGATTTCAAACCATTCCGGAAATTCAAGAGAACACCTTGAAGGAATTGCGATCATTCAAACCTAAGGATTTCCAACAGTGTTTCTCCCAATTGAAGAAACGGTGGCAAAAATGCATCGACAAAGCTGGCGAGTATTTTGAAGGGGATAGGTGATGACTTGGTAAGCTGCTTAAAATGTTAATTTCCTTATTTTTAAGCATTTGAATAAGAGAGCAACGAAGTTTATAACTTAAAACCTGGGTTTTTTTAAAGTTGTATCCAAATTTTTCTTGAAATAAAGACAAAAATCGCAACTCGAGTTTGACTTTCCTTTATTTCAAAGCGTGTAGTTTCCTTACCAAGACGAATTTTTGCATTCTGTAAAAACAAGCATCTCCAGTAGCTTATCAGCTTTCAAACAAGCCCAAGAAAGCTTCATTACAACGCTCAGTTTGCCTTCTATGACAAAAGTCCGGTTTCTTGTACATGCTGATAAGATTCTTGGTGCAAAAAAAATGTTAACCCTCTATGAATGCATGAATTAATTTTGAGTCTTAGATTCTGTGGGACACTAATCTATTTTTGTTGCTTGCATGAAAATTTATAGAATACCAAATTTTTGGGAATCAGTTATTCCAAAAAAACCTTGCTGTGAATTCGTGACACTATGTCATAGAGGGTTAATTTGATGTTGATAAGATGAAAAAAATTACCCGTATATTGCAAAGTTAGTCCACATTTCAACAAGAGATTGAGCGATTTCCTCCTCCTCTTTGTTCAGCTGAACATTATGGTCCCAGAAAAGATAGAACAACTCATCTGAATGTGATACACCTAGAAATAGAAATATTAAAATGATTTGGGATATACCACGCTTCATTTCTGCCACCACTTTACATCTTTAAAAGTATTGAGTACACAATGTATAATAGGCTGATAGCTCCAGTTGACATGCTCCAAAAACATGTATATAATAGCAGACATATGGGCCTCAATATTCTCGAAACTAGTTTGCAAATCACAAGCAATATAAAATACATATCGGTGGTAAAACTACCAAACCATGTATCTGGGCTTGCGACTTTGCGGACTTCCTATCATACTTCATATTTTAAATGGAGAACTATTCGATGTCAGTGATTTTCCTTCTCTGTACAAAGCAAATTTTGGATCAACTTCAAGGAATAAAGTTGTTTTGATCTTTCTTAAAAAAATATAGTAGGCATGGAGCTTTTTAAACACTACAAAAGAGATACGTGGTTTGGAAGTTTCACCATTGATATTCAGCAATTCAATTGTTCTTCAAGCTACTATACGAGGTCTGTTCAATAAGTTTCAGGAATTTTGCAATAAAAATCTGAAATATGGTCCGAATTTGCTTTTCTTGGTATCAAAAAAATTTCAAAAGTAATACAAAAACACTGATTTTTACCGAAATGAAAAATATTTATTGGTTCTCAAGTTACAGCAGCCTAAAGTGACGGACTCAAAGCCGCGCTGCGATTTTTAGGATCCAGAAATCAAGTTATTTTTTTTGGTCGCTAAAATGTTCTAATTTTTTGCTCGGACGATCATATAAAAAGAAAAGGTATTGACAGATATTGGGTGTGGAGAAGGACATCAAGCATGATATCAGGTCCAAGCAGTTGGTCTGGTATGGACATGTGCGGAGGATGGCAGACGATCGGTTGCCCAAGCAGGTTTTCTATTGGGTTCCTCCCGGAAGGCGACGAAGTGGACGTCCTGTGAAAGGTTGGTGACGAGGGGTGGAGGAGAAGATCAGAAGGTGCCAATTGCCTGCTGATCTCTGGGAGGATAGGGGGCAATGGCGATTGGGCGTAGCAGAGCGTAAGGCGACGCTGTGAAAGCGACTTAATGTATGTATTGACAAATAAATTTTGAAGAACAACATGATATTTGTGTCCCTTTATGGCTTATCCCCTTCAAAATACTAGCCTTGGCTGACGATGCATTTCCACCAACGATACGCCAAATCACGGAGGGCTTTTTGAAAACTCTTCGAGTTTTTTGTTCCCAAAACTGAATCAACCTTTAAGAGGTTAAAGATCTGAATCTGTGGAAGACGTTCAAATGAACACGATCCGAACGTTACGGCACATCAACTCGGAGAGTTTTCAAAAAGCCTTCTGTGATTTGGCAGATTGTTGGCGGAAATGCATCGTCAGCCAAGGCCAGTATTTTGAAGGGGATAAACTGTAAAGGGACGCAAATTTCGGGTTATTCTTCAAAATTTAGTTGTCGATATCTTTTCTTTTTTAAATGATCGTCCGAGCAAAAAATTACAACATTTTGGCGACCAAAAAATAACTGATTTCTGGATCATAAAAATCGTAGCGCGGCTTTGAGTATGTCATTTTAGGCTGCTGTAACTTGAGAACCAATAAATATTTTTCATTTCTGTAAAAATTAGTGTTTTTGTATTTCTTTTGAATTTTTATTGATACCAAGAAAATCAAATTCAGACCATTTTTCAGATTTTTATTGCAAAATTCCTGAAACTTATTGAAAAGACCTCGTACAACCTGAAGTTTAAGTTCAAAAATTCTGATTTAGTGCCATTTGTATCCTATTTCCTTTTTTTCTAATAAAAGGGACTTTTTATAGTGTTAGTGTATATTTAGANTGCTGCAGAGTCGTTTGAAGGCGTTTTCCGGTCTTACTCTGGGAGGTTTTATTTGGTTGTTCTCCTTATATTTATATTTTTAGCTTGGCGGGGAGATCTACCGATCACCGTGATAAATTTTGAAGAATAACATGATATTTGTGTCCCTTTATGGCTTATCCCCTTCAAATATTCTTCAAAATTTATTTGTCGATATCTTTTCTTTTTTAAATGATCGTCCGAGCAAAAAATCACAACATTTTGGCGACCAAAAAATAACTGATTTCTGGATCATAAAAATCGTAGCGCGGCTTTGAGTATGTCATTTTAGGCTGCTGTAACTTGAGAACCAATAAATATTTTTCATTTCTGTAAAGATTAGTGTTTTTGTATTTCTTTTGAATTTTTATTGATACCAAGAAAATCAAATTCAGACCATTTTTCAGATTTTTATTGCAAAATTCCTGAAACTTATTGAAAAGACCTCGTACGACCTGAAGTTTAAGTTCAAAAATTCTGATTTAGTGCCATTTGTATCCTATTTCCTTTTTTTCTAATAAAAGGGACTTTTTATAGTGTTAGTGTATATTTAGAAGGTACAACTTTTAAAATGTTCAAAAATTAGTTTGTAGAAACGCTAATTAAAATTTTGCATAAATTACAGAATTTTTGCGACTCGTGGCATGTTCATTTACAGCTACAGTGTACCAAATTTAAAAATAAAAAATAAGTTAAATCATACATATTTTGATGTCCTCATAAAAATGAATTGCTTAAATGCGAGGATCAACACAAGACATAGTAAAAAAAAAAAAATAAAATAAAAAAAAAATTGAGTTTATTATGAAAAATGCAGGTTAAGAAGTAGACTCATCTGAAGATACCCGATGACTCAATTTAAAGATAATGTGAGTGGAAGTTTTGAATGTTGATCAGACCTTCGAATAATAAAATACAAAGATTTTCATATTCAGTGATTCAATTTTGCTGACTTACTGGAAGATGGAGAAACCCCAACGACAGATTTTAAAAATTTGGTGTACTATGAAGTTCATTGCTAAATCTTAACTTACCACCAGGGAAAGGATATCCATGCCCAAACTTGGTATATCTTTTTCCGCTACCATAATTAAATGAGTACAAGTATGTTTCATTGTAAATTCGAGTCATCTGGAATAGCTTGAATACGCATGATTTGATGAGCAACACGCCACAAATCTAGAAATGGATAGGAAGTGTTAGTGAGACAAAACTGACAAATTCAAATTTGTAAAAATTGAGATGTAAAGTTGCATTAAAAGCTTAGAGACTGCTTTCATGCTCAAAATACTAGGTCCTATAATTACATTCTCATAGAAAGTTGCAGAGATTACAGAGAAAATTACAAGGTGTCTACGGACTTAACAGGGCACAATTCCCTGTCTTTTCTTGGTTTTTCCTGACCAAAATTCTCGACCAGTACAATTTTTGGACATCGAATTGGTAATCTAAAAGAGGTCTTCTTTTCCTGCTATCCATGGAGATAAGAAAGAAGCACGCCCTTTAGTTCCCTGCATTTCTATGCCAAAAAGAACCAAAATTCTTTCTCATAGTATCGGTATTTCAGCTCCAGCTATCGGCAAGCAAGTTTTCAAAACAAAAAAAAAAAATTCTTGTTTAAAAAAAATTTCAGCAACATTATGGCGGTCAACTGATGACAAATGTTGAAAAATGTACAGCTACCAACGCTACAAACCTCTGCTGATGTTGTACTATTTCTAAAAAAAACCTACTGACTTTTTCCTAAAATTTTCTGTGAATTTTCTTTACTCATTATCTGCGATTCTCTTTTACCTGCGATTTTGCATAATAATGACTGCATAGAAAAAATTCTAGCTGAGAGTACAGCCATAATTATTAACTTACGTCAACCATCCCTGGGATCATGGCAGTGAAATTTCCTAACTGATCATGCCTGAAGTACTTTTGGTTTAGGAGATCACTCACTGCTCCCACAGTATCCTCCACACCTGTGGAAAGAGAGATTAAAAACATTAAAGATAAGCTGAAATTGAGAACTCCATTAAAATAAAGAGATCACTCTTTTAGAAATTAATTTTTGAATGCATACATTAATATTACAAAAATAATACTCATCGATGTGAGACAAAATTTCACATAGAACATGGGAAACACATTGAAAATTTCCAAATTTGATTGGTAAGTGAGAAATCAGTCTGAGATGAACTGTTTTCTAATGGTTTCCTATGGTTTCAAGATAGATAAATTGAAGAGTTCGCTTGTAAAAGGGCGTATTGAACAATTGTTCTTTGTTCTGGAGATCAATTGTACAGCATCAGCACATATTCACAAACACACTGTCACGTTTTTATGTTGATCTGATACCTGTTTGTGTGAGATTAAAGGCCAAAATATGCAAAGCCCCGTTCTCAAGCTTCAAATGAGTTTTGCTAAAAACAGACCTTCTTCAAACTTGCCTTTTTACATGCAAACTTCGATGATCCATAAGAAAATAAAGGGTATGATTAATAAATTTTTAGATTTTATAAAAATGTAAATCTTAAATAAACTCTGTATCTTACTTGTTATTAAATAAATTGATTTAATAAAACATTGCCTTATTATTTTAGGTAACTTATACTTTAATTATAGAGGAGTTGAATTTTTAGAAAATAATTACTAAAAGGGTACATGGTGATGCCTAATTTCTTACTTTGTCTCCTTTTCCGAAGAAACAAAGTTGTTAGCAATCCTTTGCTGCCAAACAGGAATGAAGAAAAAAATGCTTGGTTCAAAATTTTGTCAAGACTGAAGGACCAATGAAAAATGAACGCACAGAGGAATACTCAAGGTGGTGCATAAATCTTTCTACGTCTTGATGTAAGACAATTTGATTGATATAATTTTTGATTACTCACCCAAAAACCGCAATACAGATCTAGTGAAACTCGTCTTTAGGTATTCCGAATTGTGAGTCAAATTATTGGCTTCAAGCAAGTAGGTGTAGATATCTATTGGAGAAAAAAAAGAGGATCACTGTCAAAATGTTTCACACAGGAAAATATCATCTGAGAAAGTTTTATTCAAAAAAGGAAAAAAGATAGGCAACCAGCTTGAAAGCTAAGTTTCGAGACACCTAGAAGTATGATTTTTATTGTGAGCATCCATGAGAAAATGGACAACAGAGTATGTACGGAAATTATTCAGTAGAGTTCTTCATCTGTAGAGTCAAAAATTCAGGATTTAATTTAAAGGAAGGAAATGTTCTCTAGGGTCTTTAAAAATACGTTTCAGACACTTCAGTTCATTTTATGAATCCCAAGCATTAATGCAACTTCTTTTAGAACTCTTTTCTTATTTGAAAAATGGGCAGTGAAAAACCAAATAGAATGTCTACAAGTACAAAAGTCATCGACTGAAATCCTTCCTTTTTTATTGCATTCTCTTAACTTTTTATGTGCCTCCCTGAAATATCTTTTCCAACAATTTTCAAAAATTCTTACATTTTACATTGTCTATTACTCGATTTTCCTTACGTGACGCGCCTCTGGAAATCTTACCCGGTTGCTATAATTTCTTCAACTTCAAATTCCCCGACTTTTCTCTGCCTTTCTTTGCTTTTCCTGACTCCAAAATGTTCAATTCCCTGACTTTCCGACAAAATTAACACCATTTTTTTCTTTTTTCGATAAGCTGACTTTTGCTAAAATTTGGGCTAGATTTCCTTCTTTAGAGATTACTTATGGAAAAAAAGCATTCAGTAGAGCAAGTTAAAAGATGACAACCATTAAAAATAACCAGAGAAGGCAAATGTTGGAAGATCAGTGATATGTTTCATTGATTAGTAGATGTGTCTGAAATTCCCTAATTTTCCCCATGAGTTTCCTGACTTTTCTGAGTCACTGCAAATTCCCCAACTGTCCCAGTTTTCCAGACCGTCAGTAACCTAGATAATCTTACAAGGATAGACTTTTGTAAAATATAAAGAAATTTGGATTTGAAAGGAGAAACATAGGTAGGAATGCTTATTAATGAGATATGCAGAATATAATTGAGATTTTAAAAAGATAATGTAAAAAAGTAAGTCTAAAAATTACATTCAAGGTTCTCTCTTTAGGAATTTTTGGGGAATTTTTAAACGTCCATATGAAAACTATGTACAGTTTTTATACTTCCGTGCCAACATTTCAAAAGCCGACCTTTCCCAGTGTATTCGGACTTTCCTAATACAACAGACACCCTGCCACTGCTCTCAGTGTGAATTTAAAAAGTATATCCTAGAGTCTCACTACTACTAACAAGATCCATCTCCCTTGCACCTGGTTACCACTGGTTTCCATTCCGCATATTTTTCAGTTTTGAAAAGGTGTGTTAAAAATGCAGATTTCTAGTGCATTCAATTAGAATTATGACAGATCAATGCTGCTAAAGTAACATTCATGGTTTCCACTGGCTATTTAGGTCAGGTACGGTACATTTCTCAAGTATTTAAAAATGCAAATTATTTTATAGTTATTACCTGATTTATTTTTTCGTCCTGGTTATCTTAGAAAATTATTTCAAATTATTGCAATTATTTGCAAATTATTTTCCTCCATTTTTAATGTAAATTGTTTTCTTATTCCCTATGTTCCAGAAAATCTGAGGTTTTAAATCTACCAACAGCAATTTGAGAGCTATCGGTTGAAGACATTCCCCTTACGTACTTACATATATTGGTTAGACGAGGAAAGAGCCAGGTTATTTTCTGAAATTCTCATTTTATAGGTCACTCAATTACATATATCCAAGTGTGCATGGATATCCTCATAGAGCTGTTGCTGCCAAAACCAATACTTAATTATTTTCCCATAAATTAGGAATCTGATGATGAAAAAAAACAGAAAATGATATTACTTACTTGCAAGCAAAAAGCTTCCCTCATGTTTGACAGTTCCACCTAACACAGGTATTTTCATGTGGCCTCCGTTCTCAAAGGTAATTTTTGGGTCTTCAATTAGGAATTTAGGTTCACCGGCTGTCTGAATGACAGCATGGTTTCCTCCATAATCTCCTCGTACAGCAACACCTGTTGTGGCGATGGCGTTTGTCTGGAATTGAAAAAATATTATTTTCACACGGTTGCCATATACAAAGATTAGGAAATATAATTGACACAAATTTCAAGGTGCAATCATATAGTTTTAATGGATGGTCAATTGGTTCCTGATTCCGTTTATGTTATTCCAAGCTGATTTCTCGACTTTGAAATTAAACTCAGACTCTCTTTAGAAATCATCAACAGAAAAAAAACAGCCCATCTGATATCAAGTTATTGACTGGCACGCGAACATAGGTGTAAAACTGGCTTAGGAGGCAAAAATGGCCCAAAAATGTGTGAGATATCTTTTGAAAAGGCATAAAATTTGACTTTAAATGAGAAAATATGTTGCAATTATTTCGTTTATTCTCAAGACAACGCAAGCCCCAATTTTTCTTCTTTTTACCTTACATTGTATGAAAATTTCTGAAACAACCACAGTTTGATTTCAAATAGCAATCTTTTCATGAATTCATTTTCGGACCACCAAGATTTAGAATGGGCCAATTAAATTTTCACTCTCTTTCTCCAATTCTCATTTCTGGCAGTTAAATCTTCTTGAGGAAGAAGGATTCATTTGTCTCTATCGTATGTACTTCATCAACTTTTCAGAACTTGAACACAGCACAAAGTAAATTTGAAGTTAAAATCAAGGCTTTTAAGTAACGTAACTAAATTTGAAAATTAAGTGGCTGTTTGAAAACTTACTGTGGCTTGCGAATGAGCCTCCAAAATTTCTGATACTGACTTTCCTCTTAAACATCTGGCTGCGTCTACCTTGTTTGTAGTGGTACAGCCTGCATGTCTAGCAATGTCCATAGCATGCTCAACAGGATTTGTATCCAAGACCCAATCGCAAATGGCTGTGCCACTTTGCATGATAGCTCGATGAAATAGACCTGTAGAGATCAAACGAAAGTTCAGTTTAAAATTACTTCAAATTTTCTACTTTAGAGGGAAAAGGGAATAATCTCTGCACTGAGTGAAGACTTTGCTCTACTGTGCAGACTGCTAACCTAATGGTAATGAGTCTTTCTTTTTTTGTAAATTGACCACTAGACAAGGTACGAATTTAAGGATTCTGATACATGTTTCTTAATAGGAATTTCACGTAGAACACGATTCTTGCATCGAAAATTACTGAGGTAATTTCCTATCTAAAATACTAACGTTTTTATTTTACATTGGTTACGGAAAATTTGAATTGCCCAATCACACGAAACTCAATACTCTACGAGAGTCCAATTGCGTACTACAACGGTTTCGGCAGGCTTCTCAATCCAGCACTGTTCATTTCCCACCATGTGTTGTTCAAACTATAAACAACTTGCTAAAGCTGAGCCAAAGCGTCAAGATTGAGGTTGCCACATTTTCATATCGTTGAGAGTGTCATGGTAATTTTTAGTGTGCGATTTGATTCATGTAGACCATTGAGTTTTCATGAGTGGGAGGTTTAAATTCACGCGTTAAGAAACTTAAAATAAATTGGTTAGGAGTGAATTTCAGTAATTTTCATTGCGCAAATCGTGTTTGACATAAAATTTTGGTTGAGAAACATGTATCAGAATGCTTAGCTTTCTACCTTGTCTAAAGGTCCATTGGACTTTCGATTGAATCAGGGAGAATAAAGAAACACCAACTTGGAAAAATGAAAGTGTTTGAGAGGCACAAAAATTGCATGGTGCGTGAGGAAGTTGGTCTAGAAAAAAGCTTTTTGGTGTCAAAGGACAACTACCTTATAGGGATGTGCCACCTTCAATGACTTAAATGAAAATTCGGCATTTTTAAGTTTCTGAGGTTGGTTTGTTTTCATTCAAAATTTGCCAATTGTTATTCAGTAACTTATTCATTCACTGATTTTTACTTAAGTTTGTTAAGCAGTATATGCCAGCAAATGAGCATGAAAAATTCTGGAACCACATTTCGGTCAAAGCAAATTGTTAAAAAAACGTGGGTGGTTGCCATACATCCCTCATTCAGGCCATCATAAGTGGTCAATTTTTCACTTTTTACAAAAGTTTACCACATGAGATGTTAAAAAAAAAACAGTATTTTGTTTACTTCAGTACTGGATCTCAAATTACTCATAACCATCGATAAAATTACTTAAAAGCTTTGATTACATTAAGAGTGTGATGCTTGATTGATTGATTACACAGATCAGAATTGAAGACAAAATTTTAAGTGAATGAGTGATGATAAAATAGAGTATGTCTCATAAATGACAGGATGTGAAATGTAAAAACTCTTCTCAACATTCAAACTTGATTTTTGCATAATTTTGCAACCATTACACTGACAAGTTTTTTTGCTGGCTATATCGTACTTTTCATATCCGTATCATCCAGGCAATCTAAGAATAAAAAATCCAGACCATCAGGTTTCATGTTACGAGTTTTTTTTTTTTTTTTTTTTTTTTTTTTTTGGTACTTCCACTTCCATTGAGTCTCAGCTTTCATGTTGTATCCGAGCATTATTGGATTCAACATGTTCAATTGATCTGCACAGTGGTATAACCTAAGAACTTGTACAAAAAGAGTCCAGACAAAAAAGGAGCCCACTTTCCTACTGATGATTGACAAAAATGTATACAAACCAGGAGGCACCATGGGACTAGCCATCAAGAGGGATACAGCGGCTCCTCCAGCTGAGTTTCCCATCAAGGTCACTTTGGTGTGATCTCCACCAAAATACTGGATGAATTTTCGGATCCATTTTAGAGCAAGTACCATGTCCATCAGACCCATGTTTCCGGGTACATCATCGTTCATAAGAGACAGAAATCCTGAAGGAAGAGGAAACTTTTTTTAGAACAATAGCAAGTGTGTGAAGGCATATTTTTCTTTTGGAAGAAAAATTAGAGCTGAGCTATCCTGAGGAGCACTTAATTTCATGGATGGGCCACAAAATCAGTGATGTTTCCTCTTATTATAGGCTCCATTTCTCCTGGTATTGACCTCAAAAACACACGGAGAAAATTAAATTGCTGATTTAACAATTCAATTGCTAAAAAAGTGATCGCAATATTTCAACGTAGATTTCACAACAAAAAAATGCTACTTTAACCGGGATTGTAAGCTAATATAACCACAGGGGTGGCTAAAGTAGCATTTTTTTGTTGTAAAATCTACATTGAAACATTGCGGTCACTTTTTCTTTTTTTTTCTTTCTTTTTTTGGCAATTTAATTGTTAAATCAGCAATTTAATTTTTTCCGTGCATAAATGAGCTGTGCATTTTCAAAACCTTTAGAACACAAGGATTCAGAAAATGTTGTTTCCCAAAAAAAGGAGAGAACTTAAAACATGGAGGAAATGGAAAATTTGCAGATGTCTGAAATTTGATGAATTCCATGTTTGAATGGACGCTACTAAGTGAGCTGAACACGAGGATACCCTTGGTTCATAAAGTGAACATTTATTAGAGGAGATATGACAAAATTATCTAATCTGCTAACGTACATGCGTTTAAATGGGAAATGCCACCAAATGACGTCACTAGGCGGCGCATTTTCTCACTTTTAAATCTATTTTTATACTATTTCCCATAACCGAAAAAAATTCTAAAAAATACTGCAAAATCAGCTCTTTGGGCACTTTTAGATGAGGCAATAAAAAATGTGCGTATTAATTATATCATTACAAAATTCATCCCATCTCTCAGTCCGATTTTTATAAAAATTTCAAGCTCTGTTAACTAAAGAATATGAATTTAAAAGAGGCTACAGTTACCAAATGGGCCGAGACGATATTGAATGGAAACGAAAACCAGATCCTCTTCAAGCAAGTAGTTAGGGAGAGCGCTGTGGGCTGAACCAACTTTAAAAGATCCACCATGAATATAAACCATAACAGGTAGAAGTCTTGTCGGATGCTCGTTTAAGGAATCAGATGGAGCCTAAAAGGGAAAAAAATGCACATTAGATGTTAGACACAACTTTGAGAATTTTTTTTTCCAACTGCAAAGCTAGGAAAAAGTTGGATTTTGCTCTATAGCCTTGCATAGCTTTCACGTCCAAAACTTATTTTTGACAAGGTTTAGTTCTTGAAAAATAAGGGCTACCAAACTTGATCTGAATTGTTTGACTACAGTACGCAGCAACAAACCATTACTATGATACCCATCTTAAAAATCCTCCATTATTTTATTTTATCACAAGAAATCCTAAGAAAAAAAATCTATGAGTAAAAAAAATTTTCCCTAAGATCATGTGTATATTAGTTTTTCTCTTACAAAATAAAATCTGAAGAAGAATTGATCATGTCGTCCAAAAATCACTGATGTTCATCGTCCTAGGTTTCAGTTTTTTAATATTAATAATACTTTTCAAGAGTTGACAAAATCATGAAAATGGACTAAGGACTTGTTTTGGGACCAAGATAAACATTTAACAAGTAATAATGCCTCTTTCATGGTTGCATCCAACTCTGAAGAGTTTTATCAACCTAAAAAGAACTCCGGATTGAAAAAATGGACATCAGCAGTTAGGGCACAACAAGATTCAATTTGCAATGCCCAAATCCAACAGAAAAATTTCTCAACTTATATCATTGATAAGAATTTTAGTAAGAAATGTAAAATTTCATCATGTGCCATCATTTATGACGCTGACAATATGTCCCTACAGTATGCTTACTTTGGTCCCATTTCAGTGGAATCAGTCAGTTTTTGCTGTAAACACTAGAGATTCTGCACGATTTCTTAAGATTCGCAATGAAACCTGGAACTTTGAACACTTGATAGGGATAAAGAAGGATTGTTCAAAGTCAAAGGAGCATGTGTTATAAACTTTCAGTTTTTTCTAGGACAAGCTATCAAATAATTATTTACAGGCATTGACAAGTTAGAGCATGTTTGATTCACTTATAGGGAAAGATTAATGAAAGCTCTTTTACCATCGGAGTGTAGATGTTCAGGAATAGACAATCCTCCAAAATTTCTTCATTGGGCTCAGTCGCATTACTTACTGCTCTTTTCTTGACTGTTTTGAGGTCAACCGTTTGGGGGCAGGCTCGTCTCATGTACATTGCGTTCCATGTATCCTTGAATGGTGGAGCGGGCTGAGGAGGCTGCAAAAATGTTTAAGATTTTGTTTAGTTTTTTTCTGTCAAAAAAAAAAATGTGTCCAAATACAGCTTAATTTAAAACAAATTGATGGATGTGAGTCGTGAGACTAAAAAAATGAATCGGCTCTTAGTTTATGCTTATTAACACCTCCTCTAAAACTCTGATGCCTCAGACTGACAGGTGTGAAAGTAACACATATAAGTTCGGATACTTTTCAATTATGCATGTAGTCAAAATAACATTGTGACAGAGGCTTATGTAGACATAGTTTTCAAAAGGATCTTATGGTCCTTCCGTATTTCAGATCGAAGACTTCAAATTTCATTTGCGTGTTGAATCGGAAATTCAACCTTCTGACTACCTGACTGTCTGACTGAGTAAAGCACTAGAAATCAAACCGCATTAAATTTTTTCTTACATGGTCCAAACGTATAAATTTAACACTTCAGTTTCAGTGCCGCCTTATATGCTCTAGCACTGTGCTTTCAGATTTGATCCGTGCTGCAGCCACGTATGAACCAGTACTAGGTCGAAGAAAAATAATTGACAAAAAGTAGCAACTAGCAAACCAGTCTACCAATTAGCCCTAGCAGAACTGAGTCATGCTTTACCTTCTATTGACACTATGGCCACACATGCATAGACCAAATAGCCAATAGAAGGTGGCAGCCAATATCTGTCACTGAGACAAGCAATTTTAAATAGCTTGCTCAGCAACAGAATCGCATTTAGCTAACAGGAACCAGCATGATCACAGTGTTTCAATATCGTTCATTTCTATCCTTTTAAATATATGCTAGAAAAATGTTCAATATTAAAATTTACACCTTTATTTTCCTTTAAAATTAACAATTTTTAAGCAAGAAGCAAAAACTATTTGCTATTCCGAGAGATTTTTTAGAAAATTTTGAAAAAGCAACATTTTTACAACACTAATTGCGCTGGTTCCTGCTTGCTAAATGGGATCCAACAATCCCACTATTGTTCATTCTCATTATCCCTAATATCTAATCACTCAGTATCCTCCCCTAAGTATATCAATCTAGTCTCCTTTCAGAAAATTGGTCATTACCCATGTTATGGATAGAGGACAAGTATTATTCTGACAGCTCTTATAACTTGCCCCAAGAGCAAAAGGTTCATTGATCATGAAGCATATAGAGCAACTGGAATTGTCTTAGAGCAGAATAATGAGCAAGAGGCAGGACATATAAGTACGATCGTCTGAAAACATAAAATGCATCTACGCTTTGACTAAAAGAGTGAAATGTAAAATCTTCTCATGTAAACATGTGAAGCCACACCAGCAAATAACCATTCTTGTCACTAGTTGAACTAAGTTCAAGTATAAACTTACCAAAATCGGTAGAGGCAGATTTAATGCTGGACATTTCTGAATCGGGTGAGGTTTGTATATGCCTCATTAATAAAAGTCTCAAGCACTTTTAGAGACCCAAGATTGTTCTAGATGATTTAAGTTACTATTAGAGAGCAGTAAGCAGCAAGAAGTGAATTAAATTATGTCTTACTGTTACAATTTTACTGAAATTGTTGATAAGAACACTTGGGGGCCCTCGAGTATTCACAGTTGACATGAGCGAATTTTAAGTTGTATAATTTCAGTTTACACTTCAGACAAGATAGATTAGGGAACATTAGAAACACAGCATATCACGATAAAACCATTAACAAAATTAAACAAATAAACAATTATGTTCTTGTAGACATTAGAATTTCTCGACACGGCTCGACGTTTGACAAATCGGCGAGGTTATGTACGATTGTTTTTGCTTGCGTCGCACAAGGGTACGACTTAACTAAAAAAAGTTACAATGAAAATCTTTTGTTCGATGATGTCATGCTTGAATCCTGCAGACAACAGAAAAATCATCTGCTCTATTGCAACACTGAATAAAACATGACGATTATTTCGATCAATTACAATTGGATTATTTCGTTGAATATCCCGCACGGAAACTAGACAGAGTTGATTTGCAGCGCCTTGATGCAACTATTCGTGTTCCACTAATGTGCGTGTTGCCCATTTAAAAATTGAAGGCGCTCCCACTTTTCTCACTTTTGCATGAATACTCGGATCTTGCTAGAAAGTCGCATTCGAATAAGAATGTAGGTAATAATGCTAGGAGTGTCGAAACGTATTGAATTAATTGCCAATTGGCGACACAAGTCCGCCAGTTTCTAATTTAAGGCCAGTAATTCGATCAATACCTCGACCGACGAATCCGTCGAAGAAGGTAGTATTCATACTACCTTCTTTAAGTCGGTTTCTACGCCTTGATGCAACTAATCGTGTTCGACGGATGTGCGTGTTGCATGATCAAAAATTGAAGGCACTCCCGCTTTTCTTACCTCATCCGAAATAAACAGGAGTTGTCGTTACTTGTATGTGCGCTCGCATAACTCAGTTACTCAGTTCTTATGTAGAAAAATTATTGCCATCTTAATCCTTGCACTATAAAAAAGTACCGCTCTCTTATTAGTTAACGATTTTCAGACTTTCGTGCGGGTTTTCTATTTATCAACTTTTGGGGAAGAGTTTTGAGCAAACTTTGATGAATATTTCTGTCGAGCGCCTTTTCTCTGTTGGTTCCATTCATCTCTCCCTCAAGAGTAAGTTTCATTAATAAGTTATGTAAACCGTGATAACGATGAAAAAAAAGAGAAAAAAAAAACTTTTTTTAAAAAAAAAAACTCCCATGAGAAATTGTTTTTAAAAATTCTCAAATTCGCTTTCATAAACTAAAAATTGTTTTTGTCTCGGTTTTTAAATAATACTCTTAAGCTTCATTAAAATTTGCTCATCGTATGTTCTATCGCAAAACAGCATATCGATGGGCAAAGTGCGAAACCACGTACCTCCGTTAGCGACGTCGCATGACTTCGTATCATTCCTTATTTCTTCCTTGGAAAATTATAGACTGTATGTAATTGCTTGAGAACTTCCTAGATTTGTCTTCTCTATTGGTGAAATATTCTGTATAAATTTCAAGCTATAATGTTAACTTGTTTCTTCTCGACAAAATTAAATAGGAGCGGAGATTTTAAAACACCGCGATGGAGCTACATGGTTTCGTACTTTAGCCTTCGATATGTGTCTAAGTGCGTGCACTGCTCAGTATTCTCAAAAGAAAACGTAAAACATGACCCGTAAAACATGGCGTAAAACATGGGCCCTTGTGATATCAGCAAGGACTTAATAAAAAATTTTCCTCAGAATTTTCTCTACATAATAAGAGTTTTGCTCATGGGTATCTGTTGAAAATAAGTTTACTTAAATTTCAATGTTATGCACTCAAATCCTTGTTCTGAAACGAAATATCTGTAGCTTTTAATTGAGTTAGGTAACTTATTTCATGTTACAGCAATCATCTGGGTATTTTTTTCTTTTGACAGCCCCAGAACAGAGTAGTTATAGGCTCACCTTAAATCTTAGGTCTCCAACAGGAGGAACAGCATACGGGACTCCTTGATATTGGTAGATCTTCCTCCTGGACCAGAATGAGACTGTTTCCGTTCCAACGAGTGACCCTAAATTTGGGATATTAAATTCTTGTCCTGATACTTTGTCTCCAATGTCGATAAGTGGTGATTTGCTTTCGACTAATGCCACTAGCGTTGTGACAATCAGTAATTTTGGTAAGAGAGAAATAAAACCCATATTTGAACTGGAATGGAAAGATAAACAAAATTATTTAGGGCTTGGTTTATGTTGTGAGCAGCAACAAAATAATGGTAAGACATGAATGTAATTATTTTCAAACTTGAGAGTTATATCAATTACACTTCTCCAAAATTACGATTTTTCCCTTTTCTTCCTCAACTAAATATGTTTCGGTATGATGAAAATACGAGCAAAAGGAGATTAGAACAATAAATTCAAAAAAAAATCCCTATGAAAAGAATAAGCAATACATAAGGACCTTTCTTTCCTCTAATCCTAATTTTTTTTTTTTTTTTTTTTTTTTTTTTTTTTTTTAAAACAAGCAAAAGATACACATGGTAAAACGTCCAGGCTAAACTAAGTAAACCTGTTTAAGTGAATACTTGTTCACCTTCAGTTCAATGGTTAACTTATATAGTTAAAAAATGATGTTTCCCAATTAACTGATGAACACGAATGGAGCAAATTTCCCCGGGTCACTTTCATTGAAAAGGGGGAAAAGTCTTTTGAAGTCGTCAAAAAAATCTTTGTCCGTTTAAACTGAACGCTCATTTATCAACACAGCCGACAATTTATCTGAAATAATGTGATCACATGACTCAGCACGTGTTGATTGAAAAGGTCAGTCAGCATACACAGATCCGTTTGCCGAGTGTGCATTTAGAGTAGTCGCCAAATTTTTGCACGAACCCTGTGAACTTCATTCTAAACACGTGGGACAAAAATTTACCTTTTCTTAATATTTGACCCGCATTGCAAAAGTTTTTAAAAAATTCCCCAGCTTCTCTTACACAAGGTCGTATCAAAGTTATATAGCTGACGATAGGAAAATCTCAGCTTAAAAAAAAAATGATTTTATTAAAGTTTTTTGCCATTGGTCCGATTGATTTTGGCACGGTTTTCCTTCACTATTCTACGTAATTAGATCGCAGCATGTTTGCATCGTGGTAAACCATTTGCAAGTGAAGAAAAACGCCACGGATACACGTTGTTTATATAATTAAGGTTAAAAATTAGGCCTCTCATGGCGAACAAATTCAGAGTGAGGGATAGCTTTTCCGAAGCTACTTACTTTTGAAGAAGTCCGTTCATAGTAGAATTCCGAACATCACTGCACAAACGATTTCGTAGGCTCAGCTTCTTTCAATTTTAAGCCGATACATCAGTGAATAAAGAAATTACATTCTAAATTTAATGATTTTTTCCTTGATTAGGATTTAAGAGCCAGAAATAACATCCAAAAATGTCTCCGGCAACAGCTGATCTTAGGTTACCCGGGAACTGCATTATTTTCTTGTGGATTCAGCTGATGTTGTGGAGGCAGTTAAAGGACCGAACTGGCACCATTGGTCGGTTGAAATATTTCGATTATTTACTTCATTATTTAGTGCATCTTAATATTCTTTTAGTGAATGTAACTCACGAGACAAATTTTTGGAACTTGGCAAGCCAGACGAACTAATAAATGCATAAAAAATCATTTATAAAAGTTTGAGCATTTTCGACTATCACAAGGATACTGGCATATTATATTGGTACTTCTTTTGGAATACTTATTCGATTTGAACTTAATGTTAAATCTTTCTTTAATAAATGATCGTATAATTTTGTAGTAGCTTTTCATGCATTTATTTTTTTTTTTTTTTTTGCATTTTTACTTATTAATGCTCTTTACTGTTGGCGACTCCTACACGGCGAGAAAATTCTCGCACGATGTCAGAGGATTTGCTTCTCTGGAAACTTTAAAAACTTACCTCTCTGAAAAGAGGCGAACTAATTAATATGTTTTAAGTTTTAATGATTTTCAATACCATGCCTAATTTTATTTTTTAAGTTTACGATCAAACACTCATCTTCGTATGAGCGTCCATACCAGCTGAACTAATATGACTATAAAGTTTTTTGAATGAAATGCTCCTTATTAATTTTAGATGATTCGTCAATATTTTTGAACAATTTTGTTAAAGCACTCTATCCCAAAGGACCAGCATTATATATAGTTCTGTCCTGCGTGTGTACCTGTCCTGCCCAATCATCAATTTTCAGTTATTTCCTATCAATTATTATAGTTCTACTTATCAGTCTTGTATCTTTCTTTGCAGTACTCTGAAATTCAAGGTGTTGTTTAAGATTAGTTTTAGTTCGTAACGTTTTCTGTATGTACGCTAGGAGGGTATAGCTTCTCCTAAAAGAAATCTCACTAAAGTGATCATTTCTTTTTTCACCTCTATCAATCATAAAAACTTGAGTGAAAAACAGATCGAGCATAAAATTCGTTAGATGGGTCCATTATACATAATTTACTGAGATGCAAGATTTGCAGACTGGGCAAGACACAAGCAAATCAATGTAATGTCCCGGCCTTTTGAACTTCTGGATTTCTTGCTTTGGTACCCACTTTTTCTTTCTTTTATTTATTCTCGTCGTATTACGAGCCTTCGCGTTGTTGAGCCTTTTTTTTTTCTTCGTTCAAATCTTTGAATAAGTAATGCTGTTAGAGGTATGCTTTGTGGCCTATCTTAAAAATTGAAGGCGAAATAGCAAATTTTTCTCAATTCCTTTTTTCTTAATTCTGCCCAGTCATCAATTTTCAGAAATTTCCTATCAATTATTACGTGCAGTTCTACTTATCAGTCTTGTATCTTTCTTTTCGGTACTTAGAAGAATTCAAGGTGCTTGAGGTATGCTTTGTGGCCTATCTTAAAAATTGAAGGCGAAATGGCAAATTTTTCCAAATTTCCTTGGTGCTATTTTCTGCTCCCTTCGATTAAAAAGGAATTCCTCCTAAATTTAAAAAGGAGAACATTCCGAATAAGTTCTAAAGTTTACTGAATTGTAAGTTAGTCTGAGGAGAAGTACCTGGGTCCATTTTTATCGGATATTCGTGAGCGTTGCACAACTTCCCATCTTGTCGCAGCGGGTCACCCAACGAACCGAACTAATCATCCTCTGGCTGTCCACGCCTTACTGACTCCAATTAATTTCCGAACCTCCGCCCGAGTCTCATCGGGACGGTGCCCTGCCATGACGCCAGGCCCCGTTATCGCATCTCCTTCAGTCGTTCCCAATTTCTGTCCCCTAAAAATCACCGGAGTCCAGAAAAATGTCTGCCGAATTTTCTTTTATGACGGCTCTTCGTCGAGGAATCATGGAAAAATGTTCGCACCCTCATAAACTCGAGTATTTGTCAAGCTGTATTCACATGGTTAAAGCGGCATTCTCATAGTGGGTATTAAATGGCTAGACCTTTCGCCGTAAGCTACTGAGAGCTGCGAAAGGCATTTATGATCCCCGGGAGAGTGCAGAAAATCTGGGTTTCTGGAAGACGCATCAAGTTGGGAAAAGCAAGGGTGAATAGAAAACATGCATCTTCATCGAAAGTTCATGTAAAATACGATCGCATTAAAATTTTCCAAATCACACTTATCAGTTAGAAAATGGCTTTTTCCTGTCCGTCAGTTTAACTTAAAATGTCATATGAGATACCTAAAATTTTTAAATTTTTTGAGGATCCTCACCTACGCCCCTCTTTAGCTATCGCGTGTCCCTCCATTAGTCCATTATCTCTTCACATGGAGCCTAAATCACTCTTGTGCTTGGTAAAAAGTATTCATAAGTCCGGCACTGGAAATATGTGCGCAGTTGGGATCCTTGCGGTGGGACTTGGGAGGTAGCGCGGCGTGAACTTTCAGTGATAGATAAGCGAAACGAGAGGAGAGCATGGACTCGGTCGAAACGTAAAAACGTGAACCGATCGACGAGATTCGATCGACAACCGCGAATCGATCGACAAACCCGCGAATCGAGTCGATCGACAAAGCCATAAATCGATCGAATTTTGTCGATCGAATCGGAGTCGATTGAGTCATGTGGATCGGTTCAAGTTTTTTTTTTCAATTGATTCATGCCGATAGAATCGACACCAGTTTTTCAACACCAGTTTTAAATTTGTCGATCGGTACACGTTTTTATTTTTCGATCGATTCATGTCGATCTCCCCACATCATGTCCCCTTTCGTAGGAGATGGATGGAGATCTGTAGGTATCATTTGCCAGATGATATATGAGAGGGTATAGGTTTCGTTGGCGATTGAGAGTCGCAGAGCGCCTGGAACCTGGATGCGCTGATTTAGCGGCTCGAATATGTACAAATCTTGTAAAATTAGAATGTACCTACAGTACAATTAAAAATCCTCAACTGTCAAAGAGGTAGCGGAAGAAGTGAATCACCGACCATCGATATTCCGTTTGAAGCTATGGTAAAGAATCGATGATTAAAGTGTACCCTGATAATCGATCCTTTCCCATAGGTTTAAATGGCAGGTCAATCAGACGATTCATCGCAAATCGCGATACGCCACTGTTTGCAGGAACTCTGTCCGGCGGCCACGGATGTTTCACGTTCGCCCACCGGAAAAACAATGGGCCCTCTATGAGACTGCAATGTGCGTCTCGCCGTGACCACGAGATGAGAATAAGATGAGAATGAGAAGATGCCATGCGCAGCAGCCTGGTCGCCGCTCCGCCCGCGGAAAATCCGACTGCTCACTCGGCCATGACGGTTTAATGTGTTTTGAAAGTAGGGATCGGGAGAAAAGAAAATTCAAATTTCTTCAGACAGGCTGTAAGTTTAATAACATTTGTTGTGTCTCAAAAAAAAAAAACCTCCTGCGAAAACTTTTAGCGAGACTAAAAGTCGACTTGGCATGGCAGAGAGGCATTTCTACTCTTTACTGTATCATTCATCACTCTATCCTGGATGCAACTATTCGGGTTCCATGGATGCCCTTGTTGCATACGCACGAAAATGAAGGCGTTTTGACTTTCCAAGCACACAGCGCTTCATTCGTGGCACTATGCGGCGCTGGCGGACAGTACTGCGCTGACGCAAAAAGATAGAGCGTCTTGAGTTCTTCGTTTACACTACGATGACAACTCATAGGCACGAATAAGTGCTCGAAAAACCATGCTCAGCACAACGCAATATCAAAGCTTTCTTTCCAT